CAATCATCTCCACATCAATATGTATAGACCAAAAAATATATATTTCATATTTGAGAAACAGTGCATCTTGTAACACAATATCTGGGCCGTCAATTTTCAATATTTTCAAGTGTTTATAAATCTACTCGATCTACACTATTTTTAAAGCTCTAAATTTTATAATTAGAAATAAAAAAAAAAAATTTAAGCCATCTCAATAATCTTTGCTTTTGAAAAATCAGCTTTCGTTACTATTTAGAGGTGCGCCTTTGGTTATTTATAGCTCAGCTTTATAAAAATCGTACCCTTGAATGAATGAAACTTGAAACAAGTAGTTGTACTTTGATTTGGAAGAGAGAAGAAGGAGATGAAACTTGAAGACAAAGCAGTGATAGAGAGAAGATAGAGGGGACCAAACATGAGGACTTACGCCTAAAACATGCTGTCCTTTGGGTATAGGAAAGCCCTGTCGCGGTTTTCAGGTCCCTGTTTGGGGTTTCGACTCCAGTTTGTAGTCGAGTACTGTTTTTGTATGGAAGTGTGAGAATTGGATTATGTTTTGGGTGAGTGATTTCTGGTCGTTAAATTCCCTTTTCTCACCCACCTATTATGCATCTATTCTCTTTTTTTCACTATTAGTTTTTTTTTTTTTTTTTTCTTCTTCTTTCCTTGGTGACATACCTTTCGATTTCATGTTCCCTCCTTCTCTGGTGACCTATCTTTTAAATCTTACTTTTGAGTCGCAGGTTGTATGTTGCCACATGTTAAAGTGCCATTGTGGTTTCATTATTATTATTATAATTATTTATTAGTATTATTATTATTATTATTATTATTTGTTGTTTTTTGGGTGCTGCTACTGAGCCGATTGTGCACAGCTTCAACCCCAGCCTTTAAGATGATCGCATAAGGGATACTGTGTTATTGAGGCGTCATAGTGAAAAGATTTCTACAGTTGCTGCCTATAGTAGCTTAGATGGTGTTGTTTGGCATTTCAACGTACAAGATCATTTGAGATTAAGATAGCGTTATGTCGTGTAGTTATATTTGATCGTCCTAGGTTGTAGGGAGTAATTTGTCTTGCTCTCCTTCATTCTCTTGTGCCTTGGAGCTTGGTTCCTCTTCATCAATGAATTTAGTTGTGAGGAAAGGGAGTGGGTCGTGTTGGTAACACCCTCACACCCTAATCATTTTGGTTTCTATTTTCATTGATTTTACCTCATTAATACTTTCAAAAAAAATAACTCTTAAACTATTTGAAAAAAGAAGTAAAAACATATCTTCCCCATCGAATTACTAAAAACGGAAAAGTTTCTATAAGGTTGCAACGTTAAAATGTAGAATTACAAATACACCTAAAAAATCTATTTAAAAGGTTGTTTTAATGTTGAAAAACCCTCTATTTGATCATCTCAACATCGAGATGTATGAATATAAAAAAAAAAAGTTATTGAGTTTTATAAATAATGCATCTTGTAACACATTATCTAGGCCGTCTATTTTCAAGATTTTCATATGTTTATAGATCTCATTGATTTTAACTATTTTTTGAGTTTAAAATTTTCTAATTAGATATAAAAATAGATTTTAAGATAATCCTAAAAATTATTTACAACAAAATTACAGGTTATGATTGGAGGTACACCTTAATTAGATTGTTTAAGGTTGCAACCTTATAAAAAACCGCACCCTACTAAAAAAAAACTTTTGTTGTAGTAAGGAAAGATAGAAAAAGAGAAATACAATGTGGCAACGGGTTGGGTCCGATTGGACCTAGACCTAGACCCGAATAGAATTCGAGTCCAAAATTTAGACCCGTACCCAGACCCGATGGTCCCGGGTATACCCGTCGAGTCTCGGGTCTGGTCGGATCCATAGCCACCCTATGATTATGAGCTTTGTTTTTTTTTTGCCTATTTTTGTTTACCATCATAAACTTTATGATTACGAGCTTCTATTTTTTGTTGAAAATATCAATATTGTGACAATATGAAGATTTAACACGTTTAAAGACACATGATTGTCATCATATATCTTATTACTTCAGGTACGACTGTGTCCGGCTTAATCCAAATCCGAATTCGGATAGTATTAGGTTTCAAAATTTAAATCCACTCTCATTCTGAGGTTGAGGTTGGTGTACCGGTTGGATCCCAAGTCGAATGGGGCCGATTGCGACAGGTGGAGAGAGGTAGAGGATGTGACAAGAGGGTTGAGGCAAAAGAAGAAGGGTGTGGGGTCCACACGTCAGACATGTCCTGGGCGCAGTACGGTGCGTAGCTCCGCGCTCAATTCCTGGCGCGCATCACGTGGCTCGTTGCCGTTTCCGTATGCGGTTAATCGCTGCTGGACCCCGCACCTTCCCCAAAGGCGGTTCACCCATCCGGCCACATGCCAACCCTACCGTACCGACCGCCACCCTATTATCATCTCCTGACTTTCAAAAAATTATCTTTTTTTTTCTAATGTAAATCAATCTTTAAAAATGCAAAATGATAAATTTGCATCGTATTGTTTGATGGGTGCTCTTTTGCATACGGATGCATATGTAGGTGTAGAGGTCGGGGTGCACTTTCAAATTTTATCATGGTATATAATTTGATGTAAAATATTTTTAAGATTATTTTAAAATTTATTTTTATATTAAATTATAAAATTTTTAATTTTAAAAATAATTAAAATCAAGTAGATCTATAAACCTATGAAAATCTTGAACATGAACAGTGTGGATAGTATGTTGTAAAATGCACTATTGTTTAAACTTAAAATCTTTTTATTTTTCATAGTCATATATCTCGATGTCGAGATGATCAATCAAAGGGTTTTTCAACATTAAAACTACCTTTTTCGATGGATTTTTGAGGGGCATCTGTGTTTTCCATTATAAGGTAGTATCCTTATAGAAACTATTTCCTTATTTGATTGACAATTTTGTTTATATGGGTCTAAATTAGTAATAAAAAATACTAACAAATAAATAATAAAAAACCCAATATTTTTACCAACTAAATATTGAAGTTCGGAAAATTTTATATAAGGTCTCGACCTTATATTGTACAGGTAAGGTGCACTAAAAACCTTCCATCATCTCAACATCGAGATTCATAGACATAAACAAAAACAAAAAAATGATTTATAGTCTTAAAAATAGTTTATTTTTTAATAAGACCGTCCATTTTCAAAATTTTCAAGTGTTTATAAATCTACTTGATCATCACAATTTTTGGAACTTTAAATTTTATAATTGAGAACAACAATAGATTTTCATATTATCGCAAGGCTGTGCGGCACTAAAATTGCATTTTCAACATAGTTTTGAAGTGCACCTTACTTGAATAGTAAAAAGTTGACACCTTATACGAACCTCCTCCATAAAGTTCAGTGCTTACTTATTTATAACTTATGGTGGTGTCGAGAAGTGAGTCAATTAGCAAGGAAACGGTTGGGGGTATGCCTTTATCATCAGTGTCTAACTCTACGGATATTGAGAACTCAAATTTGGGATTTTGAATATCCGAAATATTGGAATTCTGTTGCATAACCATTTTCTGGATTTTACATAATATTCTTTGAATTTAGTTATTTTTAAAATATTCAAAATCCTAAAGTATGAAATTTGGGTTTTACCTATTTTTAGACATTAAAAATCTAAATTTTTGTGATTTTGAATATCTACAAATTTAACAAATAACTAAAATTAGAGAATGTTATTTTGGATCTTGAAAATTTGTAATATGGTAATTCGATCACTAAAAAAATTTTGTAAAAAATAATATGGATGTAATAATAATAATAATAATTTAAATGAATATAAAATAACATTAATTATTGAAAATACACGTACAATTTTTCTTCAAACGTTATCACCAATTCCCCTATCTAGACCAAAATCTTTCTCTATACACGCTATAAAAACCACAAAAGAAGCAAAATGTATAAAAGGTTGCAACCTCTGTATAGAAAAGAGTGTTGCGAAGTTGAAAAACCTTCTAATTAATCGTATCGATTTTGAGATGCATAGATATAATTAGTAAAAATTATTAAAAAATATTGTATTTTGTAAAAAGTTATTTGGACTATTTATTTTCAAGACGTTTACATAAAATTGCAATCTTACATTATAAAATTTTACATACTGTAGAAGTAGGATGCACCTCAAAATCCAGTAAAAAAGAGTGTTATTGAGTTGGAGATTTCAAACCATGTCCGTTTGGTCTTACTTCTTGTTTTTTTTAGCTTTCCACTTGAACTAACTCGAACATCCTAACATGTGTTGTATGTGTTACTAACTTGCACACCCTAATACGTGTTGTATTGTGTCTACACCGTAAATGACCAACTTATCTAAGTTTATTTATCTAATCTATTGATGTCATACCTAAATTATTTTGAATGTATTTATTTTAAATTTCATTCATTGTTGTCTCACCACTCATTCATCTCATTTTATCATCTATTGATTCTATACCAAAACTCTTTCAAATGTATCCATTTCAAATTCTTGACCATTCATCCATCTCAACCTCCCATCCAACATTTTGCCCTATAAAAAGTACGTCTTGCAATTGTCTTATAGAATTTGACTTTTAACTTTATTAACATCCGGCGATCAAATTAAACTTGAATTGTACATCTCTACACACTCTGCTCTAATTCTACATCACATTTTTTTTAATCTTTTTATTTTTATTTTTTAATTATCGATCTCAAATATAACGAATACATTCAAAATCCAATATATCTCGACAATAATAAATCTCTATCACCGTCTTTGCTAAACCGAACTTATCTCTTTTTAGGCCTTGTTCACCCCTCTCTCTCTCTAAAATTCAAACCAAAATTTTTCTCTCTAAGCCTCTGTCACCGCATTAATCACGAGCTCTTTTTTATGCGTCACTAAACCGCTGTGTACCTGCGGCCCACCTTGAGCCCCGCTGAGCCCACACGCCCCGCTTGCACATCGTCATCTCCCCCTATAAATATCCTCCACCACTCTGTTCAGCAATGGAATATGTACCCATTCTCTCTCTCTCTCTCTCTCTCTCTCTCTCTCATATCCCGTTTTTCTCTCATTGATGTGTGCGCATTCACGTATCTAATAAATTCTATCATTCTCATCTCTGCTAAATTTTCTCGTTAATCTCTCTATTAATCTCTTCTCCCTCTGCAAAAGAAAGCGCCTGTGCTCAAATCCTGCTTTTCCCTTTGAATTTATCTGAGAGATTTATCCTAACCAATATTTCATTCTTGGGTTTTACTCGTAGTACAGGATTCCTCGATTTCACCAAGTTCCTTTCGATTTTCTCTCACTAATCCATACATTCTCCACCGATTTCCTTTTGATTTTATTTATTTCTTTCTGAGTTCTTCGATTTTCAGTCCGGGAGTTCTAGGGATTTCTTGGTTGTGCATGGCAGTGAGCTTGTCACAGCATGAGGTATCCGACCTCTGTCTCGGAAGGCCACCCCTGAAGTGGCTCCCTGAATCTGCCACAGTAGGCGATGCTCTCTCCCAACTCAGGGCAAACACCGTGAGCGAAAATTGCATTGTGGTTTGGAGTTGCGATCCCGCGATCAGTTCTCCCTTTGATTATGAGGAATGTGTCTGCTTGGGCACTGTTTGCATGGTAGATATAATCTGTTTCCTGGTGCGAGAGGAGAACCTTGCCCGGCCCGATCAGGCTCTTCATTCGCCTGTTTCGGTGTTGTTGCCGAAGGTCCCCGGACTTGTAAGGCTTGTTCAGCCTAATTACAGGTGAGTTTTTCTTGCTATTTTTTTTTTTTTTTTTTAATTTTAGCTCCATTTTTTTGGGGGTGGATCCTAAGTTCCTAATTAAGTTGTGTTCGCTTGCGAAGCCTTTTTTATTTTTAGGATTTTGCTTCGATTTTGCTTTTTTTTTTTTTGGGGGGGGGGGGGTTGTGATTTGTGGTTATTAGAAGAATTGATTTTGGCTGGGTTAGGATTTTAGAGTTTTGTAAAGCTTGTGTTTTCGGTATGATGATAAATGGGGGGTTTTTGAAGCTCTTGTGCAAAATTTACAGTTAATTTTTTGTCCCTTGATTTTACTTTAAATTGGGGGTTTTGAAGCTATTGTGTAAAATTTACATCTTTTTGTTTGTTTTTTTTTTGTCTTTCCTTTGATCCCTTGATTTTACTTTATCCCTTTGCTAAATATTCATTCCATGGATTTTTTTTCTGATAATATTTGCACATATCCTCTATGATTCCTTGTTTTAATAAAGTTACACATTTTTCTAATGTTTAATTAGTTAAATTTTTAGCAATTTTGACTGAATAATTTGCAACTCTTAGGCTTGATGGGGTATAGACTTTGCGATTTTTGATTCATCTGATAAGGATTTCTTGCTGTCTTTGTTGATTTTTTTTTTTTTGGTGAATTTTCTCCGCCATTGACGAGATCTTCCAGCATATTCTATTCACTTTTCACTCTCACATTGAAAGTTTTGGTCTCCGTTTATTAATTTATTTTTCCAATCATATTGTTCTTTGAATATCAGCTTACCTTTTTTGACTGAGTCTTGACCACTTACATAGCCATATTCCCACTCCCTCTTTTATTTTCCACCCATTAACCAATTTGGGTGTTAAAATTTTACACTAGAATTTCTTAAAAAAAAAACTCCATTATTTTATCTCTAATTTGCAAAAATTCGTTATTCATTCAACCAAATTTGGGTGTTCAAAATTCCCACTATTTTTTTTTCTCTAATTTGCAAAATTTTTGTAATTCTTAAATAGGGTGTTTGAAATTCCCTGTTTTATCTCTAATTTGAAGAAAACTCATATTAAGTGCAAATTTTATCTATATTTAACCACAAATTTCTCTGTTTTTACCACAATTTTGTTATTACTTCACTGTTTTAGCAATTATTGGCTTCATTCTTCTTATGGTTAACTAACCCACTTCTCCATCCTGCATTATTTTTGCAGCTTATCAAAGGCTCTAGAGATACTGGTAGTTGAAGGTGCCGAGATCCTGATAGTTCCCATCGGAAACACCCGGAAAGCCATGAAAAAGCCTGCCACTCGGCGCGAATTCTGCTGCCTAACCCGTGAAGACTTGGTCCGATATTTCCTCAACTCTGTCGGCCTCTTCTCGCCTCTCCCTGCCTGCTCGATCTCTGAGCTAAAGCTGATACGCACAGATTACCCTTCTCTCAACCACACCGCCCCATCATCAAAAGCCATTACTGCGCTCCTCCGCCATGTCCCAGTGGCCGTCACCGCCGGTGGAGACACCCTCATTGGCGAGATCTCCCCCGAGGCCCTCGCGCTTTGTGAGGAAGCAGCTGCCCCAGCGCTTGCTACTCTGTATGCTGGAGATTTGCTTGCATTCCTTGATTCCAATGCCCCCACGCCCTTCATTTCCCATATTCGAGATATGTGTCCTGTCGCCTTGGATGCATGGAGCCACGACCTCACACTGTCAATGCTCACGGCTTCTTCCGAGGACTCGTCGGAGGCATCAGACGAGGAGTTCACCGCAGGCTCACCAACAGGGCCATTGCCGCCCCCTGCACCTCCAGTTCTGGCGAGGGCACGCAGATCTGGGAGCTTCTCAACATCCCGTGGGCGGCGGGCAGAAGCGGTGGTTTGCCGGGCTTGGAGCTCACTGGTGGCAGTCATGGTGCAGGCTCTCGCGCACCGGGCAACACACGTCTGGGTTTGTGAGGACGAGGAGTGCTCACTGGTTGGCGTGGTCACTTTTAGGGACATTCTGGGTGCCTTTTGGGATCATATCAATGCACCCGCCGTGGCTTAGGACCTGGCCTTTGGCTTACCTGGGTCTAGCCAGGGTCCCTTCATCCGGGTCAGTTCGGAGAATTTTTAATAAGAAAAGTTTAAAAAATATGAATGAAAAGATAGAGGCTTGGGTGACTATGGTGTTTTGTTTACTCGAACCGTTTGGTTTGGCTCGGCGATTTTTTAAACATTGGTTTGGAGTGAGGATTTGTGTGCTTGGTCCGGCTACACCAGATTTTACACATTGGTTTGGGGTGAGGATTTGTGTGTGGCCCCTCTTGAATGGAATTTATTTGCCGGGATATTAAATTAGTTTCATTAAAAAATGAGATTAAGAAAAAGAGGAAAAGCAAATGGTTTGATTACTTTTGATCTTGGCGTTATTAAGCTTTTTTACGAGTAACACTTAAGATAATTAAGCTAATTATTTTTTTGGTACAAGGAGGTCGTAATGATTTCTAGCTGTTAGAAGTTTTATTCAGCACTTGGATTGTTTTTTTGTTTGGTATGGTTTGTAAAGAGAGTCAATTTTAAACAATCAAAATAAGGCGCATCTGTAAACTCTATCATAAGGTCTTGGTGCTGGAAATCCTTTGTTTGAGAATTTATTTCATTCATAATCATAAAATTCCCAGCTCCGAAAATAAAATAGTGCAGATTGAGTATATCTATGAACACTTCAAAAAATTCAAAATGGATTGCCCTTAAAGTATATTTTAAGTTGTACTATTTTGAGAACTATAAATCATTTTTTTTCATTTTTTGCATCTTGAGGTTGATGATCAATTGAAAAGTTCTTTTAGCATAAAAATGGATATTTTGATTATGGTGCGCTTTCTATAGTATAAGGCAAATGCTTTATATAAACTGTTTCTTTTATTGTTTGGGTTAAAAAAATTTAAAATAGTTTTCTCAAATTTATGATACATCCCAAGCTATTAGATTTTATATCTAACAATGAGGAGAGATTAGGATTTCATCTTACTTATTTCAAATGGTTGATATAGGATTAATAGTTGAGATAAGACTTCAATGATGATGATGGTATAAAAAACATAGAGTTTATAATTTATTTAGGACTTAAAAGACATACTAAATACCTATTGAATGAGTAGTTATAGTGACTCAATATATCATAACTTAATAAAAAGAAAAAGTAGGGATTGTATACTATAAAATCATTTATCTTTGTTACAAGGAGGTCACGATTATTATTAGCCAGTAGATATTAAATTGGATAGCTTAAGGTGTGACAAAGTTTGAGATTTTTTTTTTAACTTTGAGTTTAGTCAAAGAGGCACTCTTAGCCACCCAATTCGAAATCTAACGGATCAGAGTGATTGTGATCTCTTTATATTAAAAATAAATAATCTCTTTGCATTATTTTTTGGAATTATATATGGTAAGTCAATCAACTTCTACATCTACCATCTAGTTGCCCTTTTTTTACAAATCACTTACCATCAATATGCATATCAAATCACTATACATCCATTTTTACTTTAGATTCATAAATTTGTAGTTTATCATCTTCATTATCATCAGAACTTTTTTCCAACAATTTGAGGTCGGCTACACCAATCCCAATCGACCATTCTATTATATTAAGGGCCACCAGTCCACCATTCTATTGTATTAAGGGCCATACCCTTAGTAAGGTCATAAGTTCTCATATTTTGTCTCACTACTTTTAACGAAGTCTTTTTGCGACTACTTCTTGCTCTTTTTTAGCCTCCCACTAGAATCAATTTGCACCTCCTAACAAGTGTTGTAGTGGATATGCGTAGCACATGATCAGCCTACTTAAGTCTAATTTCTCTCATCTTATCCCCTATTGAAGCTACACCTAACTTCTCTCGAATGTATTTATTTATATTCATGAATTTACAGTTAAAATGGTCAAATCATAGTCAAAATAACATATCAATAATGTAATTCTCTTAAACTTGAGGTAACTTTTCAGGGAAAAATTCTTATGAATCCCTCAAATTTTATAAGTTTTCATATAATCCTTTCTTATTTTTCCTATTGTGCATGAAATTCTAAAAATATGTATCATCCCAGTCGCTCATCATGTCTCTCCAATTAATTCTTTAATTTTACCTCAATAATTGCCCCAAACGAAAGATATGCTTATTTTCCCTCTCTTGTCCCTAAAAAAAAATAACCCTGATAACTGAGAAAGATGTTTTTCGTAGAAATTTTTTAAGAAACTGAAGCTTAAAAAAAAGATAGACGTAGAAAACTCTGAGAACCCTTATTTGGTAACCTGCCCATGAAAACTAGAGAATGCTCGGGGTAGAGCATGGGTAAAGAGAGATTTAAATGGAAGAGAGATCATGAGGTTAAAGAAATAAAAATGAAATAACGTGGTTTAATGTTTCCCTATTTTGCTAAGAAATCAACTACTGTAATTTTCCCCCAAAATGGTAAAAAGCATAGAAATGCCGAGAAATGCATTGCTCCGCAATTCTATACTTTTCCCATTCCCAAACAAAAAAAAAACATGCCATTTTCTCTTGTTTTCTTAGTTAATAAAGAAGGCCTAATAACTTCCCTCCATTCTCTCGTATTGTGTGGATTTGAGAGAGAGAGAGAGAGAGAGAGAGAGAGAATTCTTGATATGTTGGAGAAGAGAGGGAGAGGGAAAATCTTCTAGGAGAGAGCAAGGAGAAAACGAGTTATCGGGGTCATTTATTGAGGGACAAGATTGATTAGGAGGATTAGGGTAGAAATGTATATTTGGTTTGAGGGTAGGTATTGAGGTAGAAATAAGAAAGGAAGGTATGGAATGTAAGGAGTGGGTGGGCTCATAAATACTTGTAGAACATGACAGGAAAAATAAGAGAGAATTATTATAAAATTTAATAATTTTGAGAGGCTTGTATGATTTTTTATTTATTTATATTAAAAATAGTCAAAATACAAATTACATTTTCTTTGAATTTGGGATTGTAATTTGGCCAACTTGAGGAACTAAAGCCAAATGATGTAAATATTTGTGTGTCATCCATCTTTCAAACTCTCAACAACATGTTCACAATTTTGAGTAAAAAAAAAGTGGCATATTTTAGTAAGGACCCGGTTTCTATGCGGCCAAGCTCGCATATGTAGAAATGCAGGCTTATTAGTAAATCTATTTTTGAGATGGATTTTTTGACTTAATTTTAAGGACATGTAATATCTAACATGGAGATCATGAATATGAAAAAATAAGTAACTTTTAAAAACTATAATTAATAGTTATAGTAAGAAAACATTTGGACCGTTAGTTTCCATTGTTTTTAAATGGAACACCTACTTGCATCCATCTTTAAGATCGATGCTTTACACTGTTTGGACCGTATATGTGCTTACAATGCAAATTGGAGAGATATTCAAACGAATATTACTCAGATCCGTACCACAAACTGATTTTAAAAGTGTGATAGAGAGTTGGATAATCAAATTCTAATCTCAGGCCAAACTACTAAAAAACGAATAGATCCGCTCTCAGCTCAATGGCAGAGCCAGCATAAATCTGAAAACACGAAATATTGAATGAAATATGAATAAAAACCTAGATGTAACAAAATAACTGAAAAATAAAGAAAAAGATAATAAGAAATCCAAAAGCACGAAATATTAAATGACATAAGTATAAAATCGTAGATCTAACAAAATAACGGAAAAATAAAGGAAAAGATGATGAGAAAAATATCTTGCTGCACCAGCTTGCTCGACAAACCCAAAGTTGCAGGTTTAATGGCTACGAAATATTATCTTGGACCTGTTCTAAGCTTAAGGTTGCAGGTTTAATGGCTACGGTTTGGCTAGAACTTGTCTAGATATTTGATCTCTCACGGTTTTCTCTTTGGTCTCTCAAAGGCTCAAGTTTCTTGGCCTATGGGTTAACAAAGTCCAACTCTAAATAGGTTACAAAATGTGCTTATATAAAAGCTCAAATCATATTAGAATATATATATATCAATTTCAAGCAGATTTGCCAGACAAATTTTCATTTTGGAGCAGTTGCGTTTTTGTGATATTGCCTACTAAAGATCATGTAAAAATAGGTTATTTTGCTATGTTTACTTGATTTATTACTAAAATAGTGGTATTGCATGATTATGGATCACATGATAGGGATCACAGACTATGATGGTCTATGGTTTTGGCATTTAATGGGATAGTGTGGTCCTTAGGGTTCAAGAGTAGCACCAAATTTACTAGTTTTAAAAATAGGTTGTCTACGATATTTAGTCATGCGGTCGTGAGATAATTTTCGTTTTAGTAATTTGATTTATTTGAAGGTGCGTCTTACTTTAATTCTTTAGGACCTCAACCTTATACAAACCATACCCTTTTTTAAAGGGTATGGTTTGTATACCTTAAAAATTAAAGTAAGGCGCACATTCAAATAGTGTCGAGAGACATTGTTTTAGTACTAGAAATCTTTGTGATGGTCTAAAAGTTTTATCTAATTGTAAAATTTAAAGTTTCAAAAATAGTATAGATCGAGCATATCTATGAATACTTGAAAATCTTGAAAATTAACAGTCCAAAGAATGAATTACATGATGCACTATTTCCAATAATTGAAATTTATTTTTTGTCATGTCCATACATATTGAGGTCAAGATGATTGATTTGAGGATTTTGAGCATCGAAACAATCTTTTCCAGTGAATGTTTGAGATATGCCTTCATTTGATTGTTTAAAGCCTCAACCTTATAAAAACTTTTTCCTTTTTATATATGGCTCACATGGTGTTTTTAAATGAGAGTGGCTGAAGTGCCTTATGCTTGGCATGTTGCGCTCCTTTTGCTTAGTCATCTTATATACCCTCTTGCTTTCAACCTTTATTTGTAGAGGTACAATATTTAATGGATGTGGTTTGTCTATGGCTGACGCCTAAACAATATTTGTAGAGGTAGGTACAATATTTAATGGATGTGTTGAAAGGTTTTGTTTCAATATTAGAAATCTCTGTGATGGCTTGAAAATTTATTTTTATTTTTAATTATAAAATTTAAAGCTTAATAAATAGTGTAGATTAAGTAGATTTATAAACCTTGAAAAGCTTGAAAATTTATGGTCCGAAAGTGCATTACAAGATGCACTATGACCAAGACTTGAAATCTATTTTTCTTATGTTTATATATATTAAGGTCGAGATGATCAATTTGAAGATTTTTGAGCATCGAAACAACATTTTTTTCAATGAATTTTTGAAATGTGCCTTAATTTAATTGCTTAGAGCTTCACCCTTATATAAAAATTTTTATTTTTAATTATTTCTTTGTACCTTTTTTTCTTTTCAGACTAAGTTTGTTGATGTGATTCAAGGTTTGGGATGAAAAA